TCAAGATTACACGTGATTACGAATTGATTTCATTGTTGATTATACGATGATTACAAATCAAATGTACACCTTATTGCATTAGTGAATGGCCCCTCGGGGTAAATACATGTAAACCGCAGAAGCGGTTAAAGTGATAAAATACCAAAAATGTATAAATTTTATTATAAAAATAAAATGATAAAAACAAATAAATAGAAATTTACATACATATACAGGGTGTCCCATTTTAAGTGTCCACCCCAAATATTTCTTATGTTTTATTTTAGAGAAAAATGGTTCAGACACGTTTTGTATGATTTCGAGGGGGCCATAAAACGGTACCATTGATTTGACTTTGAAGAGTAATTTGAAGGTTACGTGAAGATTACCTCAATTTTTTTAGATGGCATCCCCAATTTTTTACTACATATTCTTGTAGCTGATCTCGAGAGCTTCCCAAAACACTATAATCAAATGTTTTTTGGTGAAGTACTTTTCGAGTTATAAAGCTTCAAATTTACAAAATTTTGATAAAAATACAAAATATTTCGTAAAACATTCACTTTCCGATAGTCTTATCTTACATGATCCAACCAGTCAAGGCAAGATCCGAACATGATCCAACCAGTCAAGGCAAGATCCGAGCATGATCCAACCAGTCAAGGCAAAATCCGAGCATGATCCAGCCAGTTAAGGCAAGATCCGAGCATGATCCAGCCAGTCAAGGCAAGATCCGAGCATGATCCAGCCAGTCAAGGCAAGCTCTGAGCATGATCCAACCAGTCAAGGCAAGATCTTCTTTTGTGTACAATTACTTAAAGTGTTCAAAAACTTGGCCATTTACTTGTATGCATAGCTCTAATCTATGGTAAAAGTCGTCCCTAACTTTTTCAAGAACACCTACATTAATATTTCTGCAAGCCTATCTGATCCGGTTTTTCATATTTTCAACGGTTGTAGGCTTTTGCGAATAAACTATATCTCTAATATAGTCCCAGAAATAAAAATCTAGGGGTGTCAAGTCGGGTGATCTTGGGGGCCATTCTTGAACTCGACTGCCCATACCAATCCACCTATTCGGGAATCTATTATTTAAATATTGTGTAACAGCTCGAGATCTATGAGCTGGTGCTCCATCTTGTTGGAACCACATTCGTCTGAGTAAATCATTGTCGACATGTCTCAAGAGGTTGAGCAGGTCATCTTGAAGAAATCTTAGATAGATTGCCGCATTGAGATTTTCTTAAAAAAAATATGGACCAACAATAACATCTCCCAGGATGCCTGCCCAAACGTTAATGGACCACTGCCGTTGGAACTCTTGGCTTCTCTGCCAATGTGGATTAGCATCTGAATAATAATGGCAGTTATGCCTATTAACGCTTCCTCTATTACAAAACGTGGCTTCATCAGAAAAAAGCGTATCAGCAATGAACCGGGGATTTTGTTGGATTTGATCTCGAGCCCAGTTACAAAAACATACACAGCATTGGTAGTCCCTCTCTTCCAATTGCTGAGTTAGATGAATGTGATATGGGTGAAACTTGTTGAGCTTGAGCACACGATTGACTGTTGATTTAGATATACCGTATTGCCTCTCAATTTGTCTCGTAGAGATTTGAGGATTCAAAGCAACGGCACCTATAACAGTCAATGATGTGACTTCATCAGGGCCCGATTTTCGCCGGTTTCTTCTAAGAAAACCCTGTTCAGCTCTGTCGCAGAGTTTTTTTATTACTTTCCTATCAGGATGGCGTCTGTCTGGAAATCTTTCAGCATAAAGCCTTTCTGCTGCCGAGTAATTATTCCTGGCCTCACCCAAAATGCGAATCATGTCCACAATTTCATTTGGTGAATAAGCAGCCATAATTATAAAGAAAAACAGCTCCAAAAAACAAAAAATTCCTGTCTTATAAAAAACAAAGTCAATGGATAATAATATGCGTCTGTCTGAGACTTCGCCAAAATACCGACAGTTGCCCAAGTAAGAAATTTGAAACAAGCCTCTTGATATTTGTTTCATTAAAAGAATTGACAATTGCACTTTCACAATTGTTACAGTTCATTGATTATCAGGCAATACAGGATCTCGTCTTGACTGGCTGGATCATGCTCGGATCTTGCCTTGACTGGTTGGATCATATTTGGATCTTGCCTTAACTGGTTGGATCATGCTCGGATCTTGCCTTGACTGGTTGGATCATGTAAGATAAGACTATCGGAAAGTGAATGTTTTACGAAATATTTTGTATTTTTATCAAAATTTTGTAAATTTGGAACTTTATAACTCGAAAAATACTTCACCAAAAAACATTTGATTATAGTGTTTTGGGAAGCTCTCGAGGTCAGCTACAAGAATATGTAATAAAAAATAAGGGGTGCCATCTAAAAAATTGAGGTAACCTTCACGTGACCTTCAAATGTCTCTTCAAGGTCAAATCAATGATATCATCTTATGGCTCCCTTGAAACTATACAAAACGTGTCTGAACCATTTTTCTTTAAAATAAAAAATAAGAGAGATATTTGGGGTGGGCACTTAAAATGGGACTCCCTGTATATGCATAAAATGTTTTTTTCAACTTATCGGTATATTGTGCGAATATTTTAATGTTCTCGAAAAATATTTATATAATATTTATAGAATATATTTGTGTTATCTGGGTAAAATAACATATGCGATATTTTTAAGAATCTTTGAGGTTTGATGACGTTATTATCCTCAATCTTATGTGTAATGTAAACTGTAGATTTTCGTACAAAAAATTGTTCATATAACATATATGTATATTAGCCCTTATGAAAAAAAACCCTCAATTTTGGTTAACACTCAAAAAACGTTTAACTTTGGGTGTTAAACACCGATAAAAAAAACGCTCAACTTTGAGTGTTATGCGAATAAACGTTCAATTTTGGATGTTATACACTGAAAAAACATTCAAATTGGGTGTGATTTCAGATCGTCAATTGAAGATTACATCCAAATGAGGGTTAACGCTCAACGAAAACCTTCAAAATAACACCCAAGAAAACTTTCAAAATAACACCCAAATATTCACATTCACATTTTTTACCCTATATTTCTTATCCATACATACACAAATACATATACATGTCCAAAAAACATTTTAGAAATATGATATCTCTAAAACATTTTTCGGACATTGTATATGCATGGTTATAAACTATATCATCTATATTATAAGCTATATTTAAACAAAAAATCACAATGACTTCAAAATGAGTAACAAAAGACTATAAAAATTCACTTTGTAATCATGATTAGATCATTTTTCTTGTCATTTTGTCACTTTGATGTTATGACTTTCTATTTTAATGTACAATTCTAAAAGTCACGATAACATCATTTCAATATCAAAAAAACATCACGAAAACTATATCGAATGACATCCTGATTTGTCTTAAAATGACTTTTTTTTATGTCATAATTATATTATTATGACTTTTTGTTCTATGTGGGTGTAGGACGTCCGATGTACGTCCATCGGACGTCCTATGTCCAAAGTTGTGACAAACGTACGTCCACGTATGGACGTATTTTGTAAAAAAAAATGGACATATAATAGACGTCCAATGGACATCCGTATGCTATCTGGGGTGTACCTAATCAGCGACTAATATTTATAAGTAATGTCTTTTAAGACACTCGTACGGCTCTGTTGTGATTAGTTTACGACATCTTAAGACTGTATTTAAGACAATCTTAAATAATAAGGATCAATTATAAACAATACCGGGATTTCACATCTCGCAAAGCATATTACTATTTACATTTGTTTTTATTTTCAGATGATATTGTGCAATCAGACAATTTTTTATTCATTTATTACGTAAAAAATAAAGGCAGTACTTATTTTATTAACTTTTCATTATTAAAGCAATACAATACGGAAGAAGATCAAATCCCGGTATTGTTCATAGTTGATTCTTTTTATTTAAGATTGTCTTAAGTACAGTTTTAAGATGTCGTAAACTAATCACAACAGAGTCATATGAGCATCTTAAAAGACGTTACTTATGAATACTAGTTACTAACTAGGTACACTGCTGAACTAAAAGATATGTGCACTGATTTTTTGTTGACTTCGGAACGCATTCCAATTTGAGGAGAAAGACAACCACTGCTTCATACGTCAGCGCTGTCACTTATTACGAGAGCAGAAGGATGGCATATACGTAGTGTCAAATAAGTAGTGATTGTGACGTAGAGACAAATGTCTTGGAGACATTGAGTTATAATTGAAGAAATGAAGAATATAAATAGTGATTGTGAAGAAAAGTGACAAAATGTTTCATAAAATTTATAAAACAGCGTATTAAAGGAGAGTATTAACTGTCTAATAATATTTTAAGTAAAAAATATTTTTAAATTTGAGTGTAAGTTAAAAAAGCTATAAACCATAATTTCTTTAATATTAATAATTTTATAGCTATAAATTTGCCATCGACGTTAAATGAATATGTATGTAATGCTTTCATTTGTGTAGGTGGGAAATTTTTATTGCACTCATAAAAAATAAGCAGCAGACCAAGTCGAGTGATATCTTTTAACAAGATATTCATATCACTCAACTTGGTCTGCTGCTTACTTTTGCTGAACACAATAATATAATTCCTCACCTACGCAAATAATAGCATTATATATATATATATATATATATATTCATTCAACGTCGATGACAAATTTATAGCTTTAACTAACATTAAATATAAATTATTAAAATTATGGTTTATAACTTTTTTAATTTACATTCAAATTGAAAATATAGAAATGAACTTACCGTGTCTCAAAGAATAAGTGAATTTCAGAGTACTATTATTGTACAGGATGCATTATTAAGGATAACAAACATAAGATGATAAGATGATGAAAGTATAAGCAAGATATTACCAATCAAGACTATGATGCATATAGAAAAAATATAAATCTTAACACAAGAAACAAAGCAGCACTAAGCGATGAGTCAGGTTTGGACTGTCTGAATAAAATAACAATATTAGTAAGAATTTATCAAATTACAACTTTATTTATAGTATATGTTTTATAACACAAACTGATTTCACGCAATATATTTTAAAGATGTAGGTATATGAAATATGTGTCGTACTAGTTCTTTTCCTGTGGCCAAAGGAACACAAAGTCAATCACAGTGATTCCCAAGCAGACCTACTGCACAAAAGTTTCCATAGTTACAGCATATCTGATTCATTCTTTAACACAACAGTAAAACTACGTACCTATTCTAAGGAAAAATAGAACCGATGAGATTGGTGCAAAGTTCAACGACTAGAAATTGTCCTCCTCCTGGTAGCTGAATAATTGTACAAATTCAATATAACTAATTATGCCCCCTACTATCTCGTCCGGATGGAGAACTATGTAGTCATGCCCCTGCACGCGCCTTGGCAACAGAATTCAAAAAACCCCCATTCAGAAGAAAACGCCGCTCTGCGCCGTGGCACCCCTGGCCGTGGCGCCTCGTGCTTCCGTGCGCTGCGCGCGCCGTCGATCTTCATTGTGTTCTGTTCGTTAGTCTTGGGGTGCGGTCCACCTATTGCTTTGAAATGTTCTAGATGCTACGCTCCGAATAAACTCAGAAAACCGTTCCATTAACGCTACGAGTCTTATAGATGTTATGCAAATGGACCACTTGTAATGTGTTATCTCGCATAATATAGCATCAGAATTTCATTGGAATAAAATGGAATTGGATATACTAATAATAATGAGTGTTTTCGATAATTTTTTCGATATGCCTTATTTTATATATGAGGATGATGTAGAAGAAGTAATAAATATATATATACAATTTCAAGGCCAAATAGAAACAAATAAAAAAAATATCCCAAAAATTAAGGATTATGTTGAACAAATAATTCCGTCACTTAACGCAATGGAATTCAAAAATCATTTCAGGTAAAATTCCTATTTACATATTGTGTATGAAAAAAAAATGTTTCTAAATTTTTACACACATGCATGATAAATAAATATTCAATCATATTTCATTGTTTTATTATTTCATTTATTATATTTTTTAGAATGTTAGCACAGACGTTCGACTTTATTCTAAAGTAGATTGCAAATCAATTACAACGATTTGTAAGTGGCAATGAAATGATATCTCCAGAAAAACAGTTTTTAATTACTTTGTGGCGTATGGCAACACCAGATTCATATAGGTATGAATTATGATCACGTATAGTGTTAATAAATAAAAAAATTATAATACTATTAAGTTAAATCGTAATATTCCTTTAGATCAATTCATACTAGATTTGATGTTGGGAAAGGTACATCTGTTAGAGCAGTATAGAGGGTTAGGCAAGCATTGTGTAATCTTGCTTCAAAGTTTATTCAATGGCCAACAAGAGAAAAAATGGAAAAAATTAAAGAAGGTTTTTCTCGTATTGGTGCTTTTCCAGGAGTTATTGGAGCAATTGATGGCACCCACATAAATATACCAGCTCCTAATATGCATGCAGAAGCTTACGTTAATAGGAAAGGACATCATTCAATTCAAGCTCGTTCTTTTTTTCATTTCTGTTAATAAAATATAAAGTATAACTTTTTTAAGTTTATTAACATATTTCTGTATTTCTTTTGGATATAGGTAGTCTGTGATCATACATATCTATTTACACATGTGTACGTTGGAAACGTAGGATCCTTACACGATGCTCGGGTATTTAGATTGTCAGCTGTACAAGACTACGTTTCAGATGCATCAAAGTTTCCCAATGACTGTCACTTAATAGAAGATGCTGCTTATCCCCTGTTAAAACAATTAATGGTGCCATATGTAGATAATGGCCATCTGACATGCCGTCAGAAGAATTACAATTTCTGCCTTTCGTCTTGTCGCATGAGTGTTGAAAGAGCTATTGGCTTGTTAAAAGGACGTTGGAGAAGCCTCCTTCATCATTTGGCCATGGGATGTGTGGAGCGTATTTCCTATCATTTTTTAGCATGTTGTGTGTTACATAACATATGTTTAATGAAAAAAGACGAAATAGAAGCAGTTATCGTAAATATAGACATAGCACACCCTCAACCACAAATACAAGATATAGAGCAAAACAGAGGTGAAGCAGAAGCTAAACGAGATTTTGTGTGCTCTATACTTCGTATGAGAGAAGGCGTATAAAAAAAACTGTGATATATTCATATTTTTTATTTGTGATTAAAATTTAAGTAAATATAATCAATAAGTATTATATATGTTATTTTATCAATAAAAGTTACATTATAAGATCACAGTCCTGAATTTTATTTTTAATAAAGGACTAACGTGCAAAGAAATATATTTTCTGTATGAAATACCTTTAAATGTTGCATCAAATAAGGTAACATTTGGTATAACAAAAAAATTGTATTGATGAAAAAATACTTAGACATTAGACGCACAAAACATTCTAATAGTTGCAAACTAAAAATAATTTATAACATAAAAATAACATGTAGCATTAAATAACACTAACACAATTAGGAACTATATTATATCTATTGTATTTTGCTAACATGCTCTGACAGTCTGCATATACACTGTTAAAATCTCTTTTCAAGTTCGCTATCTGGAATATTTATTTACTAAATGTTATATAAATTTTTTCTTGTTATTTTTTATTAGGTAAAAGTATGAACTGCTTGAAACTTATTATATTTGAAAGAAAATAAGAAAAAAAATACTGTCTTATCATACATTAATACTGAAAACTTTGGCTTTTTGTTAAAAAGAAAAAATTAGTAATTGTACTTGCTGTAGGACTTACATTACAATTATGCAAAAAAAATTATAGTACCAGTAATAAAAATTATAATAGTATTAATAAAATAATAATATAATTAACAAAATTAATATTAATTATTAAGTTATTAATTTCTAATAATATTTATGCATTATGTATATTTTTTGTTAGCAATGTTTCCCAAATTTTTAATAAGCGTTCTTGTCTCGCCTCAGTACCTTCGTACATTTTTTTTCTTGATTTTCTTGTGCAAATATAATAAGTTTTTCCAACGCAGTTTTTTCCATTACTCTTTTACCTAAATAAAAAATAACAATATGAAAAATTTATCACAATGCGTGATGAAAAATAAAATATTCCAGATAGCGACACTTGCAAAAGCAGATTTTACACAGTGTATACTGCAGACTGTCAGCAGCATGTTAGCAAAAATACAATAGGATATAATATAGTTCCTAATTGTGTTAGTGTTATTTAATGCTACATGTTATTTTTATGTTATAAATTATTTTTAGTTTGCAACTATTAGAATGTTTTGTGCGTCTAATGTCTAAGTATTTTTTCATCAATACAATTTTTTTGTTATACCAAATGTTACCTTATTTGATGCAACATTTAAAGGTATTTCATACAGAAAATATATTTCTTTGCACGTTAGTCCTTTATTAAAAATAAAATTCAGGACTGTGATCTTATAATGTAACTTTTATTGATAAAATAACATATATAATACTTATTGATTATATTTACTTAAATTTTAATCACAAATAAAAAATATGAATATATCACAGTTTTTTTTATACGCCTTCTCTCATACGAAGTATAGAGCACACAAAATCTCGTTTAGCTTCTGCTTCACCTCTGTTTTGCTCTATATCTTGTATTTGTGGTTGAGGGTGTGCTATGTCTATATTTACGATAACTGCTTCTATTTCGTCTTTTTTCATTAAACATATGTTATGTAACACACAACATGCTAAAAAATGATAGGAAATACGCTCCACACATCCCATGGCCAAATGATGAAGGAGGCTTCTCCAACGTCCTTTTAACAAGCCAATAGCTCTTTCAACACTCATGCGACAAGACGAAAGGCAGAAATTGTAATTCTTCTGACGGCATGTCAGATGGCCATTATCTACATATGGCACCATTAATTGTTTTAACAGGGGATAAGCAGCATCTTCTATTAAGTGACAGTCATTGGGAAACTTTGATGCATCTGAAACGTAGTCTTGTACAGCTGACAATCTAAATACCCGAGCATCGTGTAAGGATCCTACGTTTCCAACGTACACATGTGTAAATAGATATGTATGATCACAGACTACCTATATCCAAAAGAAATACAGAAATATGTTAATAAACTTAAAAAAGTTATACTTTATATTTTATTAACAGAAATGAAAAAAAGAACGAGCTTGAATTGAATGATGTCCTTTCCTATTAACGTAAGCTTCTGCATGCATATTAGGAGCTGGTATATTTATGTGGGTGCCATCAATTGCTCCAATAACTCCTGGAAAAGCACCAATACGAGAAAAACCTTCTTTAATTTTTTCCATTTTTTCTCTTGTTGGCCATTGAATAAACTTTGAAGCAAGATTACACAATGCTTGCCTAACCCTCTATACTGCTCTAACAGATGTACCTTTCCCAACATCAAATCTAGTATGAATTGATCTAAAGGAATATTACGATTTAACTTAATAGTATTATAATTTTTTTATTTATTAACACTATACGTGATCATAATTCATACCTATATGAATCTGGTGTTGCCATACGCCACAAAGTAATTAAAAACTGTTTTTCTGGAGATATCATTTCATTGCCACTTACAAATCGTTGTAATTGATTTGCAATCTACTTTAGAATAAAGTCGAACGTCTGTGCTAACATTCTAAAAAATATAATAAATGAAATAATAAAACAATGAAATATGATTGAATATTTATTTATCATGCATGTGTGTAAAAATTTAGAAACATTTTTTTTTCATACACAATATGTAAATAGGAATTTTACCTGAAATGATTTTTGAATTCCATTGCGTTAAGTGACGGAATTATTTGTTCAACATAATCCTTAATTTTTGGGATATTTTTTTTATTTGTTTCTATTTGGCCTTGAAATTGTATATATATATTTATTACTTCTTCTACATCATCCTCATATATAAAATAAGGCATATCGAAAAAATTATCGAAAACACTCATTATTATTAGTATATCCAATTCCATTTTATTCCAATGAAATTCTGATGCTATATTATGCGAGATAACACATTACAAGTGGTCCATTTGCATAACATCTATAAGACTCGTAGCGTTAATGGAACGGTTTTCTGAGTTTATTCGGAGCGTAGCATCTAGAACATTTCAAAGCAATAGGTGGACCGCACCCCAAGACTAACGAACAGAACACAATGAAGATCGACGGCGCGCGCAGCGCACGGAAGCACGAGGCGCCACGGCCAGGGGTGCCACGGCGCAGAGCGGCGTTTTCTTCTGAATGGGGGTTTTTTGAATTCTGTTGCCAAGGCGCGTGCAGGGGCATGACTACATAGTTCTCCATCCGGACGAGATAGTAGGGGGCATAATTAGTTATATTGAATTTGTACAATTATTCAGCTACCAGGAGGAGGACAATTTCTAGTCGTTGAACTTTGCACCAATCTCATCGGTTCTATTTTTCCTTAGAATAGGTACGTAGTTTTACTGTTGTGTTAAAGAATGAATCAGATATGCTGTAACTATGGAAACTTTTGTGCAGTAGGTCTGCTTGGGAATCACTGTGATTGACTTTGTGTTCCTTTGGCCACAGGAAAAGAACTAGTACGACACATATTTCATATACCTACATCTTTAAAATATATTGCGTGAAATCAGTTTGTGTTATAAAACATATACTATAAATAAAGTTGTAATTTGATAAATTCTTACTAATATTGTTATTTTATTCAGACAGTCCAAACCTGACTCATCGCTTAGTGCTGCTTTGTTTCTTGTGTTAAGATTTATATTTTTTCTATATGCATCATAGTCTTGATTGGTAATATCTTGCTTATACTTTCATCATCTTATCATCTTATGTTTGTTATCCTTAATAATGCATCCTGTACAATAATAGTACTCTGAAATTCACTTATTCTTTGAGACACGGTAAGTTCATTTCTATATTTTCAATTTGAATGTAAATTAAAAAAGTTATAAACCATAATTTTAATAATTTATATTTAATGTTAGTTAAAGCTATAAATTTGTCATCGACGTTGAATGAATATATATATATATATATATATATATAATGCTATTATTTGCGTAGGTGAGGAATTATATTATTGTGTTCAGCAAAAGTAAGCAGCAGACCAAGTTGAGTGATATGAATATCTTGTTAAAAGATATCACTCGACTTGGTCTGCTGCTTATTTTTTATGAGTGCAATAAAAATTTCCCACCTACACAAATGAAAGCATTACATACATATTCATTTAACGTCGATGGCAAATTTATAGCTATAAAATTATTAATATTAAAGAAATTATGGTTTATAGCTTTTTTAACTTACACTCAAATTTAAAAATATTTTTTACTTAAAATATTATTAGACAGTTAATACTCTCCTTTAATACGCTGTTTTATAAATTTTATGAAACATTTTGTCACTTTTCTTCACAATCACTATTTATATTCTTCATTTCTTCAATTATAACTCAATGTCTCCAAGACATTTATCTCTACGCCACGACCACTGGGTCTGTTCTTTATGGTTCTTTATAGCTGCACTGCTAAATTAGTGCAATAAGTTAAAATGAGACAACTATATTTTTTCTCATTCAAACTTACTGCACTAGTTCAACAGTGCAGCTATAAAGTACAGACCCACTACTTATTTAGCACTACGTATATGTCGTAATAACTGACAGCGCTGACGTATGAAGCAGTGGTTGTCTTTCTCCTCAAGTTGGAACGCGTTCCGAAGTCAATAAAAAATCGATGCACATACCTTTTAGATCAGCAGTGTACACGCGAGTGAGGTGCGTGCGCCGACCCTATATAGACAAGAGCGCTTATTCATTAACTTTAATACGTTCTGCAAAAATTACTTGTCGGACTACTTGTCAATTTTGTTAAAGGAAAAAGTTGTTTATTTTATCATAAAGTATAATGTCCTGTACTCCGAATGCGGGAATTTTGGATTACCTTGTATAATTCGGTAATTGTATAATAATTCATAAATAGAGTGCCTCGTTATAGCATGATGTTTATTAGAGTTTCAATATGGTTCATTAAAGATTCAATGATAAACGTTCAGATCAAGATTCAATTTAATAATGATTCGATAAAGGTTTGATATACACAGTCTGTCCCAGATCCAATGAGACTGGTCTAAAAAAAATACAAAGCGTTTATTATTTTGATTTTTTATTCTTGTTCATTCAAAATAGTCTCCTTCTGAGTTAATATAGCGCTGGAAACGTTCAACAAATTTTTCGAAACATTTTTTATACTCATCGGCTGGAATGGCCTTTAGTATGGCGGTCGAAGTCTTTTGGATGACCGGGATGGTATCGAAATGATTTCCTTTCATCGCCAATTTCAGTTTGGGAAATAGCCAGAAGTCGCACGGAGCCAAATCAGGTGAATACGGTGGATGATCGATAACAATGATGGCTTTTTTGGTCAAGAATTCACGTACCATGATGGCTTTGTGCGATGGTGCATTATCGTGCAATCTTCCGTTTGCCCAAATCTTCGGTCAAAATTCGATAGACTGTGCTTTTCGGTATCCCAGTTTCCTCTTCGATGAGTCTCGCAGACACACAGCGGTCGCTTCGAAGAATTTCTTTGACTTTCTCGATGTTTTCTTCATTGCGAGTGGTTTTTGGCGGCGGTGCTCGGTCAAAGTCCTCACGACCGTCACGGAATCGGCCAAACCAACGGAAAACCTGTGCACGGGACATGCATTCATCCCCGTATACATTTTTTAGCGTTTCGTACGTTTCTGCACCACTTTTACCCAATTTAAAAGTTGGTTTTTCGACCGACGTACACAAAGTGACTTTACATAAAATGTCAAACCACAGTGAAATATCAACCGAATTCGCTCAAATTTTGAGGTTAAGTAGATGAAGGGTAGAACATTCACCTACCATCATTCACTCATAGATATCGCTGCGCTAAGAACTTTGATGGAACCAGTCTCATCGTATCTGGGACAGACTGTGTAGTACAATAGAAGTATAATAGTGATTCAATAAGACCCGACACCAAGCATGATTGTCTTCGCTGGAAATCTGCGAGCCGGAGTATCCTCCCACTTCATCCGTTATTCTGGGAGGGATTTTTCTAAAAGTAGCTGAACATCTTTCATCAAGAGAATCTATAATTGCTTATAAACGTCTTTGCGTGCTGATATCGAAGAGAGTTGCAGTGTAACTTCCACGCGATATATTTTGGATAATGTTAATACTGATGATATTACCAGGCGTCATAATTCGATATTAATATTTATTTAGTAATATTTAACGGAAAAATATTTCGTTGTGTTTATTAATGTTTTAGAAAACACTTTCAAGATCAACTACAAAAATGTGCAATGAAAAGTTGGACTTTTCATTCAAAAAATTGAAGGTGACCTTCACATAATCTAGACAATGCCATTCAAGATCATATTAATATTATCACATAATGCATGACTTAGAACCAGGGACCGGTAAAAAATATCGGTTCGATTCCGGTATCCAAAATACTTAGTAAGGGTTCCGGTTTCGGTTTTTTGACCATAAAAGAATCGATACGGTTCTTTAACATTTCTTACTAAAATTTTTACTTACTTTTTCTTACTAAAATTTTTATTGAATTAAAATTAACTTTCGCATTAAAAAATCTCGAAATCTTCGAGGTCGACGAAAAAATGTTTCAGACAAAAGTTTTAGGGCTGGATGGGGGACATACATCAGTGACCTTGAGGTCAAATTTCAAGGTAATTTGAAGGTCAAAGTTATTTTTTTTAATGGAAACCCATATTTTTGACTACAGAAATGAAAAGAACGGAAAATTTTACGTTCAGATATGGTACATACTTACGGTCCATAATGGCCTTGAGGGATCATTTCAAGTTCAAACAACAATTTCGTGTCGCACGCGAAATTGTCTCCAGGTTATCGCAATGATCATGAACCATGAAAGAAGGAGGGCATACTAGATGGCGACGGGACGCCGTGTGTTCGGGACCTGCATCTTATTTTCGTTCCGAAGAGAGAAAAATATTGAGAGCGCGGTAGTCGCTAGACCGGGAATCGAACTCGGGTCTTTCGCTTGCCGGGCGACTGCTCTAGACCACTGAGCTATCTGACGCTTCACGCTCACGACACTCTCCTCTCCCCAGATAACGTTGAGAGATGTCGTTTGGAAGCGACATCTCTAGTGCTATCCCGAACGCACGGCGACTACAGAGAGAGGTATTGTTTCAGACAAAAGTTGTAGAGGTCCGAGCGGATAAACTGATAACCTTGAGGTCATGTTAAAGTTAAGTTAAATTTTTTAATAGAGACGCCCGTTCTGACTGCAAAATGTAATCTACGGAAAATTTTATGTTCAGATACGTTGAGTTGTTATGGAGTGAAGTTTATTCCTAAGAGTCATTTGAAACTGTCACTGTTACTTAGAGCAGAGCTGGAGACGATCTGCACATTTCGGGCGAAATTCAAGAGGTGACACCCACCGTCCCCTTGCTACCGCTCCGCGCTTAGCGGCCGAGGCGACGATCGCGAGGCATTCAGTTCGCCTATATCCGTCGCTATATAAGAAATCAGCTGGAGCGCACCCTCGCGTCATATTATTATTAAAATTTTTTTCTCGTTTAATAATCACTTTAAAATATATGCAGCGTCTGGGGTCTGCCAAAAGTTCTGGAACGGCTAATTATTTCAAAAAATAATGATCGTTTAAAACATTGTTTGCAACAAAAGTTGCAGGGCTTAAAAAAAGTTATCAGATATTGATAATTGTTTGACCTTGGAATGATCTTGAAAAACGTTATCAAAGTCAACATAAAAGTCTTAAATGGAAACTCCAATTTTTTATTACACCGTATTTTTGCACCAATCAATTTGAACAACTTTTTCCTGAAACATTTTTTTATTTGCCTAACATTTTTTTAGATATTTGAAGATAACTTGGTAACTTTTCCAATATTTAACTTACGATATCTCGCTAACTGTTTGTCGGGATAAAAAAATGGTACTAGACTTTTCTATTCTACTTGGTCTCAAGAATATATTGTTACAATAGCGCCCTGACTTTTGTTAATTTGATGATTTTGAAATTTCGAAAGATCGATAAATTAACAAAAAATAGAGCACTATTATATCAATATATTCTTGAGATCAAATAGAATAGAAAAGTCTAGTACCATTTTTTATCTCGATAAACAGTTAGCGAGATATCGTAAGTTACTACATGGGCTGAAAAGTCTTTGGCTTAACAATGAAAAAACGATTTTTTTAATGAAAAGTGTTTTATTCCTCGACATAATCTCCATTTAGAGTAATGCACTTAGTGTAACGGTCCGCTAACATTTCGATGCTGGTCGTATAGTGCTCGGTGTCAAGTCCCTCAAAATAGGCATTTGTTTCCAACTTGACCTCCTCATTCGAGTAAAATCTTTTACCAGCGAGCCACTGCTTCAGTCGGGGAAAAAGGAAATAGTCGCTGGGGGCCAGGTCTGGAGAATACGGGGGATGCGGGACCAATTTATAGCGCAATTTCTTTAATTTATCGGTCGTATCGTGAGCCGACTGTAGCATTGTCTTGGTGAAACAAAATTTTTTTCTTTGCCAAATGTGGCCGTTTGACCTTGACCTCGTCGTCCAATCGATCCAGTAATGTACAGTAATATTCTTTATTGATAGTTTTACCATGTTCAAGATAATCAATGAATATTATGTTATGCGCATCCCAAAAAATACTGGCCAAAACCTTGCCAGCTGATTGTTGTGTCTTCGGACGCTTCGGACGGCTTTCACCAGGCAATAACCACTCCGCTGACTGCCGATTAGACTCCGGTGTGTAGTGATGGATCCATGTTTCATCTATTGTGACAAATCGACGCAAAAACTCCTTCTTATTGCGTTAAACAGGGCCAGATTTTGCTTTGAAAGTCGAACACGTTCCGCTTTTTGCTCAATTGTCAAAAAACGCGGCACCCAACGCGCACAAAGCTTTTTCATGTGTAAATATTCATGAATGATATGACCAACGCGTTCCTTTGAGATGCCTATGATGTTAGCTAGCTCACTCAATTTCATTTTACGGTCATTCAACACGATTTCACTGATTTTCTGGATGTTTTCTGGAGTAACTGCCTCATTTGGCCTTCCTGAACGTGGTGCATCATTTGCGCTCGTACGGTTACGACGAAACTCAGCAAACCAATATTTGATGGTTGAATTCGGTGGGGCAGATGTGCCGTAACATTTATCAAGCCATGCCTTTGCTTCAACAGTGTTTTTCCCATCAGGAAGCAATGTTTAATCAAAACACGAAATTCACTTTTTTCCATAGTAAAGATAAATTCAGAGGTAACGTCACTTCGAAAGCTATAACTTGTACACGAGTCAACGAAATATCATGAAATTTTTACAGCATCTAAGTTAAGGTTGGTACTCTATAGGAAATATAAGGATTTTTAGTTTGTGGCGCCATTTATATGTCAGGCCAAAGACTTTTCAGCCCATGTAGTAAATATTGAAAAAGTTACCAAGTTATCCTTAACTATCTGAAAAAATATTAGGTAAATAAAAAATGTTTCAGACAAAAGTTGTTCAAATTAATTGGTGGAAAAAGATGGTGTAATAAAAAATAGGAGTTTCCATTTAAGATTTTTATGTCGACCTTGATAACGTTTCTCAAGGTAATTCCTCAAGGTCAAACAATTGTCAACATCTGACAGTTTTTTTAAGCCCTACAACTTTTGTTTCAAACATTGTTTTAAACAATCATTATTTTTTTGGAATAATTGGCCGTTCCGGAACTTTTGGCAGATCCTGTATATATATGTATATACAGGGTGTTATAAAAGTCCGGGAAGAGCAGAATAACTCGAAAAATATGAGTCCTACAAAAAATGCGAAGTACTGGGTTTTTATGATTTTTCCTGGCTATCTGATGGTAACCTTGGATTTAACCTCGACAATGACCTTGAAGGTCATTTCAAGGTCAGGTCAATTTTTTTAAATGGGACCCCATACTTTTGACCCCAGAAATTAAAAGAGCGGAAGATTTTACGTTCGGATATGACCTTAAACACTGCCAAATTTAACCTCTGAAGGTCACATAAAGGTCTAAGCTTGTTTTAGGCTGAAAACAACGTGAATATCTTCGAAAATGCATCTGCTAGGGAGCAATGTTACGCATAAGAATAAGAATGTAGAGGTCAACGAGGGACATTCAGCCGTGACTTTGCCCTTATTCTCAAGGTCATGAGTTAAGATTATTATTAAGGTCAAACCGGACTTTTTTAGGACTGAAAATCCATACTTTTGACCTAAAAGTGTCAAGATTGAAAAATTTTACGTTCGAATATGACGTTTTCAATCTTGACCTTGTTCTTAAGGTTATGTGTCAGTCATATCGAGGTCAATTAATTTTTTTAGGCTGGAAACACATACTTTTACCTCCCCCCCATAATGTGGGGGGGGAGGTAAAAATGTGAAGAGTGAGATTTTACGTTACATACGAGGTCACTCCGATTATTGGTAATTCCTCAATATCGGGCGCCATTTTTGATCGATCATCTTGAATTTGTAAAATCCAACGTCGGATTCGATTTCAGAAACGACTTCAAAAACTCCTTAAACGAGATCCAATTTTTGTTATTCTTAAATATCGGCCGCTATCTTGAATCGGCCATCTTGAATTTGCAAAATCCGACGTCGGATTCGGTTCCCTCGTTGACCTCTACATTCTTATTCTTATGTGTAATATTGCTCCCTAGCAGGTGCATTTTCGAAGATATTCGCGTTTTCAGCCTAAAACAAGCTTAGACCTTTATGTGACCTTCAGAGGTCAAATTTGGCAGTGTTCAAGGTCATATCCGAACGTAAAATTTTCCGCTCTTTTAATTTCTGGAGTCAAAAGTATGGAGTCCCATTAAAAAATTTACCTGACCTTGAAATGACCTTCAAGGTCATTGTCAAGGTCAAATCCAAGGTCGCCGTCAGATAGCCAGGAAAAAATCATAAAAACCCAGTACTTCACATTTTTTCTAGGACTCATATTTTTCGAGTTATTCTGCTCTTCTCGGACTTTTATAACACCTTGTATATATAAATAACGCATATACAGCTGTATATAGTATATGCGCTATATATAGCTTTTTCTGAATAACAGCATGCTCGTTGGATATCGCGCGTCGTATATCGCGTATCGTGTCACACATCGCGCTAGTCTGGGAGAGCCATTAAATAGAAGATACAACTATGGTTGCGTTCATTTTGGGCACTTACGCGCTGTAAGTACTGTTATTTTATCTTTATCGCTCATTATATGCGGAAAGAAGATAGAATGATAGACTGCAACGCTTATGACGACAGCCAATTAAAAGCGTCAGTGATCCCCTTTGATGCTTTTGATCAGCTGTCGCGACAAGCATTGCGGTGTGCGCAGAGGTGCCAGAATAAGAATTAACCAATCCTAGTCGACTTTTACAAGAATAATCGAATGAGATTAGCCAATTTCTTAAGGCTTAAAGCTTATTATACCTATTGTGTTCCCGGGCTAACTGATAGTTAAATCATTTACTTGTCTTTGTTTAATTTGAAAGAAAAACAAAGACACACATATTCCAAACAGCATAAGGACGTCCTCAAGACGTCTAGAATGGGCATTGAGGACGTTATGTGCTGTCTGAGATGATTTAACTAGCAGTTAGCTATCAAGTAATTAGAACAACTAATACTAAATCATAATATAATATAAGAACCGAAATAGAGAACCGAAAAATACCGTGGACCGAAAATAATTTAACGGTACGGTTCCGATCTGATACCAAAAGCTTTGTAAAGTTTCGGTACGGTTTACGATTTCGGTTCAACAAAAAAGGCGGTTCCGGTGCGGTTTTCGGTACGGTCCGAGTCCCTGCTTAGAACACTACAACTTTTGCAGGAAAAATTTTTGAAGAACAAACATATTTTCCGAAAAAACAACTAGTACGAGCGCTCTGGAATACAACTAGTACGAGCGCTATGTCGATATAGAATATTTGATTTGAAGATGCTTAAAAATCGTTAAAAACGAAAATAACATACTAGTATATTAGTATACTAGTATACTACCGTATATTAGTATACTAGTATACTACAGTATATTAGTATACTAGTATATCATTAATTATACGTTATTAATTTAAGAATTTATTGAATATTAATATAATTTTTAATAAAATAGAAAAATTTTCTATAATATTATCATTTTTATTTCTTCTCAGCATTGAAAAACTAATATGATTTTAAAAATAGATGTAAACTATAAAAATAAAATTTTTGCCTCTCCCTATTGTTTTTGTTGTATATTTAATAATTACACAATAATTCTGATAATATATAATAACATATATTTTTTCGTATATGTATTTTAATAAAAATATATATGACCCACATAAGACACAGTATAATAAAATATTTTATATTTTTCTTCAATAAAATAAATTTTATAATTCTTTAACTTTTTAATTGCTATCGATTTGAATGCTATTGATCGATAAGTATTTGACGGAAGCACTCATGGAAATACTCAATAATAATCTATGACCATAAGTGCTCAATGATAATTATTCGCTAGATTAATGTAAAACCTAGGTACTCCATACACTTTTATCAATAATTTCAATAACCATCGTTGCACATTATTATAAAATACAATGATATATCGAGTTCACAGTTATCGGAAAACGAAATACAGTTCTTAATTGATTTTATATAAATTATAAATGACAACACGCGAAAACGTGCTCTAAACATAGTAATGACATTATTATAGTTTGGACATATATAGAAGTCTTATCGTTTCTTGTATTTGAAGGATTAAAATGCATGAAATCCGACGAACCTCATTTTTGCCTTGTTAGCATCATAAAAACAAAAATATTTTTTTTAAATGTTTTACATACGTTAATTTCTAAAATTCCTTATTTGTGAAAATATTGAAATTATACTGAACTGAAATAATACTGAAAATAATACTGAAAACAGAGTTAATAAATTTCATAAAAGCATATATTTTACTCAATATATAAAAGACGTAATTGCAAAGTTTAGCAGAGCCTGATTGCGCGGATAAAAGTTAATTCTAACAAAAATTGAAAACTATGTTTTATATAGTATTCAATTATACTTTTATGAAATACGTTCTTATAAATTTAATTATTCTTTACAACTTTTGTTGATATATACATATATACTTACGTGGAGGCAGTCGGCACCTATTGATATCGAATACGTATGGCATAGGAAAGTATCTCGGCACAAAAAGTTGTCCCGGTGCAGGAAATGACGCTAGTGGAAGAAACGGTCCTGGCGTAGGAAACGGTCTTGGAAATCTCATCATAGGCGTTGGTGCTACTAACGGCATCATCGGTCTATACAAATTCTGAAACAACAGATTTACATATATATTTTCATAATTTTCTTATAATTTTTTATATACAGGGTCTGCCAAAAGTTCCGGAATGGCTAATTATTTCAAAAAATAATGATTGCTTAAAATAATATTTGAAACAAAAGTTGTAGGGCTTAAAAAAAGCTATCAGATATTGATAATTGTTTGACCTAGGAATGATCTTGAAAAACGTTATCAAGGTCGACATAAAAATCTTCAATAGAAACTCCAATTTTTTATTATACCGTCTTTTTCTACCAATTAATTTTAATAATTTTTGTCTGAAACATTTTTTTATTTGCCTAATATTTTTTGAGATATTTAAGGATAACTTGGTAACTTTTTCAATATTTAACTTACGATATCTCGCTAACTGTTTGTCGGGAAAAAAAATATGGTACTAGACTTTTCTATTCTACTTGGTCTCAAGAATATAATAGCGCCCTGACTTTTGTTAATTTGATGATTTTTAAATTTCGAAAGATCGATAAATTAACAAAAAATAGATTATTGTACCAATATATTTTTGAGATCAAATAGAATAGAAAAGTCTAGTACTATTTTTTTATCCGCGAAATAGATAGCGAGATATCGTAAGTTAAATATTGAAAAAATTACCAATTTCTCCTTAAATATCTCAAAAAATATTTGGCAAATAAAAAAATGTTACAGACAAAAGTTGTTCAAATTAATTGGTGAAAAAAGATGGTATAATAAGAATTTCGAGTTTACATTTAAGATATTTATGTCGATCTTCATAACGTTTTTCATGGTCATTCCAAGGTGAAACAGTTACCAAGATCTGATAACTTCTTTTAAGTCCTACAACTTTTGTTTCAAACATTGTTTTAAACAATCATTATTTTTTGAAATAATGAGCAATTCCGGAACATTTGGCAAACCCTGTATTCAGTAGTAATAGTATAAGTGGAAAAATAATAGATCTATGCTTTTTAGGTCTCTAAAAAGAACGTACATATGGAATTTGCATTCCTTTTACCAATGATATAGAATTTACGTGGACAGTCAAATGGACAATCTCCCTGTCTGCTCGAAGTGGCAGACAGGAGGGGGCGTGGACTCCCCTTCCACCTAGTGCAGGTGCTGACCGGACATGGATGTTTTGGTCGGTACCTGCACCGGAACAGGAAGGAAGGAACCCACCACCCGATGCCGTCACTGCCTGGTGCTCGAGAACACGGCGCATCATACGCTGGTCACATGCGAGGCATGGGACCAGCAGCGCCGTGTCCTCGCCCGGGCGGTGGGGTGCCGAGTGGAGGACCTCTCGTTCTCGCGCATGGTCAGAGCCATGTGCGGGAGCGAGGAGGCGTGGGGAGCGGCAGTCTCCTTCTGCAAGGACGTAATGTCCCAGAAGGAGGCCGCCGAGTGGGAGCACCGTCTCAGAACCCGTCGCAGCCAAGCGACCCGAGCGACGGGAGAGGAAGCGGCGCTCCGCAGGTATAGGGAGCGGGCCCGAGGTGGCGTCAGCCGAGGAGCGACCCCCGATTCGTCGGGCCGTCTCCGTCAGCGCAGGAGAGGGGGTGGGCAAATGGCGTAAGCCCCCCCCCAGCGACGGTAATGGTAGTAAGGGGGGGACTGGTGGCCCGTTTGGGGACGGGCCCCATTCCCCCGCCTTCCTCGGCTAATGAGGGGGGCTAGGAGAGAGGGTGAGTGTCTCCTCTCTCCAGTAATGGGAACTAGAAGGCCAACCCGGCCGGGTGACCGGCCGGGGCGCCGCGCCCCCGACTCCCTTTGTGGGAGGGAGCGTGGCACTTGGGCGTGGGGCTTCGTAGAGCCCTGGAGCCGAGGTGTCGGGGAGGGAATGCAGGAGTAGTTGTTCCTCTAACTCCTCTCACTTTGACCCGATTGGTAGACACACCGGTGGGGTTTTAGCCGGTTTAAGAGTCCGGGATACCTCCCCCAAGGGACGGGGGTATCCATGAGGATTTCCCCACCGTTAACAAAAAAAAGATGGACAATCTACTCAAGAACGGTAAAATTCATAAGAATAAGATGATTGATTCGACATGAAAATGACTGCGAAAGGACTCTTGAGATAACTTATTCAGATAATTAAACCTACAGAGACAGATTTTAAATAAATTAAATTCTGCAATCAATTTTTAACAGCAAAAAGGCATCAAATTTCAGATAAAATCTGTTATATCTAACAATGTTGTATATACACATGTGTATTATATGGCAAACTTAAAAATATCTTACAAGGAAATTGTCGAAATTATCTCTCATTGATTTTAATGTTTTGAACGTGTTACAGGGCATTAAAAATGATAGACCCCTATTTTTTAACGGCATATCTTAATGTTTGGAGGTAGAAACAATTTCTCGAAAAACAGACTTTTTAATTTTTTTTAAATATTTCCTAAATTAACAAGGTATATGAAAAAATGTTTCATATTAAAGTCAAAGGTTAGAAGTTAAAAAACGGTTTATTTAAATTAAAAACAATATAAATTTTTTAATATCTTTTTCCCTTGTTACTTTCGTAAATTTTTAAATTTTTGTAAAGAGAGAAATTGAAATGCATTGAATACTAAATTCATCTATATGTAATATTTGAAGGTAGTCACAATTAAATTTTTGGAAAACGATATGATAACATCATGCTATAGATATCGCGCTGTAGATGTTGCGTTATTTTTTTCCAGTTACATTATACATAATAACTTCTTCTTGTGCATATGGTCTTACACTGCACATATGAGAACAGATTAATTCTAATGATGTAATATGCAACGTGTTACACTAATAAAGATGTGAGCATGGATAAATGTGCACATATAACAACAGTAATATACATGTTTACGACATTACAAAGTGAATTTGATCGTTTTCAATGAATTGCAAATAAAAATAAAATGCAATGAATACAAATAAAAATTTATCCGTAAGCGATGAGAGTAAATAAAGGAAAAGGTGCCGTATATTATCCGTGATTCCGTGTGCTATTATGTGCTGATGCAATGCTCTTCTTAGAAACCCTTTTATTTTTCTATTTTGAACTCTTAATTATATAAACAAATATCTAAAATTCCAGAGTTCTCCTTATTGTGACATAACTTATAAGTTTCTTTATTTTATTTCTTTTCAGTCAAAGATGCATCTTCAGGAATTTTACTTCTCCTTAACTTAAGAACATTTTATTTTAAGATACTTATCACGAGAACATCAGTCGCATGACTATTTTTTATCAGAAGTATAAAGTTTTCGAATGAATCATATGTTTTCTTCTTGCGGCAATAATTTAGTAAAAATTCTTAAAGGTTTTAATTCCACTCTAGGCTCCTCCAGATTTAAGACTTAAAACTAAGATATCTACACCTAAGGCTAAGATATCTAGACGTAAGGTTCGTCTATTAAAATAGTTGTCTCCCGGTTTCAAACTCATAAACACTTCAAATATTCATGAATTGCACTACTGTACAACGCGTATTTCTAATACGAAATTTAATAAAATATTTATACAACATAAAGTGTTAGAATGATTAATTTATTAATCTAAGTCCTTTATTACATTCGCGAAGAATTGCATATTGTACGTTACCATTTCATAAATATGTAAACATTTATTGTTATTTAATTTTTATTACGTTTTTATCATTTATACGTACTTATCATTCTTTGCTTTGATATAATTTAAATTATAAAAGTACGTCGAATTATTAATAATGTAATTTTTACTCATAGTAATGTAATGTAATATCCGGAAATCCGAAGCGAGATGGAACAAGAGTTACGTTGCCAATTATATACAGGGTATTTGAGAAATTTTTAACCAATCAATTCATACAAGAATAGGTGAAATTGAACAATAAGTCAAATAAAATTTTCCAAGAATCGCAATAGTTATTAACTTATTAATTAAAACGTCTGAGCCAATGAGCCAATGAGTACGGGGATCAGTAGGCCGGACTCGACAAAAATATACAGAAAGATACATATACAGGTTATCCCAAAACCGATTTCCTCTTAAGAGGTGAAAAGGGGTGCAATTTGGAATCGAAAATTCCTTTACCACTTTTGGATCAGAACATTAGTTTATGAGTTATTAACTAATGAATCTGATCAATCAGATTATTTGATGGGCGATGGACACACAATGGAGCAGGATTCAAATTTTAATTTTAATCTATCAAACTTAAAATTTTTCAAATTCAGAGAGGGGGAAAGAGAAGAATAGGCACGAGAGGAAGTGGAGGGGGCAGGAAGAGAGGAAAGAGAGGAGGCGGCATAAATGTAAGATCAATTGAAACACAAAGCGGAAAACGGTTTTCCATGCATTGTATGACAGGGATTTCGGGTATCGAAGGCACTTTACACAAGTTTATGTTCAAGTACTTGTATTTAATAAAAGAGAAAATAGTACAAAGGTAACTGTCGCGTAATTGCAGACACAAAAGAAAACGTGCATCGCACAGACACAGCATGGTGCGCATAACCAACATACAACCAACATAAGAACATAGACTAGCTAAACACATGAGGGGAAACTTAAAAAAAAAAGAACCTATGCCGGTGGCGCATGCGAGCGTCGTGTGCTCTTCTAGAACTAAATATGTAAGAGATCTTTTCGATATATATTGGGTGTGTGAATATGACTCCGCTCTTTTTTGTTAAAATAAAACATATTTGCTTGTTTAGAAAATTAAAGAAAAGTTTATTGAAAGTATGCTCCATCTGCAGCTACAACCTTCGCCCAACTTTCAGGTAATTTATGTATTCCTTGCCTGAAGAAGTCCTGGTCTTTTGAACTGATCCAATTATTAAGCCAAATTTTGATACTTTCGTATGAAGTGAACCGTTCTCCCGTAAGATTTGACTGCATCGTCCGGAATAAGTAGTAATCTGAAGAAGCTGTCTGGCGAATATGGCGGGTGGAGTAGCACTTCCCAGTCCTGTCCATCTAAATATCTTTTCACGACTTCTGCGGTATACGGTTTGGCATTATCATGCTGAAGAATTAATTT